CACCTGAGAAACTGAATTTTAAATTTTACTTACCTTTAATAAATTCAAATAGTCATGTGTGACTAGTGACTACTTTACTGGGCAACACAAGTCCAGAGCATCCTTGGTGAGGGAAGGGAAGAGAAAAGGAAGAAAAAGCAAGGATGGGGATACCAGATGCAAGGAGGTAAGCATCTGGGAGAGGTGAATGGCTCTGGAAGTGAAAATCAAATGGAAAGTTACTCACCGATGTGAAGACTTGGGAAGTCAAGTGAAGGCCGATTTAGTGTACTTCATATGATTTATTAGGCTGGGTCTTTCTAAGGTTCCTTCTAGAATGATCCATTGTACCCTTATTATACAAAGATAACATATCACTATGGATTCTGGAACCCAGCAGGCATGTTCTTACTGAATGGTATATGTGCCTGATACTCCAATAGATCTGCCCCGCTGGGTATTTCATTCACAGGCCTAAGTGACAGCAATGTACAGTTGGGCCAACAAAAGCTAACTGAAACTACTATTGTGGTCTTTTTTTTTAACTCCCAGTTTTCAGGAACATTACACCTAGTAGGTAGGTCTCTTCTATAGAATACTTTCCCTTGTCATTTTACAAAATCATCTCATTTTCCTCCTTCTTTCCTAGATGTCCCTACTTGTCTGGCTATACCTCCTCTACCCTAGCCCTAAATATGGGAGTTTCCCAAGATTTATTTCTCCCTAGCTGGGTTCAGCACTTTCGCCACTTTAAATGGCACCTACTTTTGCAAAGTCCGGCATGTATAAGCATAGCCCTAACCTGTCCTCTGAGTACCAGATGTGCATCATCTGATCACTTGACCTCTCTACGTGCTTGTCTTAGAGTATCTCAGACACACAAGCTTCAAAATAGAGCTGGTTTTCTGCCCCCAACCCCTCCCTCCTGCGGTTCCCATATCTAACAAATAGCATCATTATTTATAATATTTCTCTAGCTAGAAAACTAGTCCTTTGTTTCTCACCTGCCACCTCCAATCCAACAGGCGCTGCCCCCAAAGTGGATCTCCGTCTACCTCTCTCCATTTGTACTTACACCACGTCCGTCACCTTTCACTTGGACCACTGCAACACTCTCTCACTTTCCCCATACTAGGTGCCTCCCAACATACCTTAATCTCCCACACAGCTGCCAAATTGAATTTGCAAATTGTAAATTCTATCATATCACTCTCCTGCATGGCATCCCTCTATGATTTCCCATCCCTCTTAGAATAAAATTGAAACATTTTACCAAGAATAAATAATTTCCTAGGCTCTCATTCCTGAATGTTTTCTGCAGCTTTGCCATTTATTCCATTTTTTCTTACTCAGTTTTCTTTGAACACGTTGACCTTTTTTCACTGCCTGTAACATGCCAAGCTCTTTCTTATTCTGAGAACTTTCATTAGCTTTCTAGAACATTGGCTGTCTGGCTTCCTCTCATCCTTTGGGTGTCACAGAGCTCTTCTCTGACTACTCCAGTTAACAGTGTTCTCACTGTTGAATACAGTAGTGTCCTTTTTAGTTTTCCCATAGCTCAAATGCATTTGTTTGCTGGTCCTTATTTTATATCCTTGTGGACTCCAGGAACCATAAGAGTAGAGCTAGTATGATGTCTGGTACCCAGTAGTTTCTTGATTGGATGTCTATGTTATTAAAGCTTATTAAATTTTTTTATTGAAAGATTTTTAAAATTTTAAGTAAAGAGAAGCCATGTAAATGGCAAAGCAAATCATTTGACTACATTGCATTTTGACCATTGTCTGGGCTAGATGCCAACTTAATTTTGCAGAAGGATGTGATGAATGAGCTAATAAATGAAAAACAATCTCCTATTTCCTTGAATATAAATTTTACATTAAATTACTTGCTGTGAGGAGCCATTTAGTTATTCTCAACGATATCCTAAGTTAAAGAGAAGATGGCTTTCTCTGCAATAGGGATTAAATGATTCCAATTATGTCAAATTGATGGTAATTCCCACTCGCCCAGGGTCAGCAAGAAACAAGAACATTTGGAAAGTCCATAGCTTGATGTCACTGGTGCACAGAAGCTCTTTCTCATTTTTTGTACCCAAGATTATCTGCCTCCAAAGATGGACAGTTTTTTTTTTAACATCATAAATAGACCTCGGTCTAAGTGGATTTTTGTTTTATTGGTGAAGTCAAGATATAAACAATTTACTAACTATTTTTGTGTATGTAGCTCGTAGGGGGCACCAGTTCTCTAACTTCACTCCACCCTACTGAACACAAAAATAGAATAGCCATCCAAGAACTGTCCATTGTTCCTCAGTGACCTATATTCATGTCCTGGATTCAGTTTATAGTTCTAAGTTGGGATTAGGAGGTGGGGTAAGGGACTGAGAAGAGATTTTGTTAAAAAATGAATGTTTTCAATCTAGAAGGTTGGTTTGTTTGTTTGTTTGTTGAGGATCCACTATGTCTAAGGCAGTGTGCTTGGACTCTGAAGGATTGCAGTGATGAATCAGAAGTGATTCCTATTCTTAAAGAATTCACAGTCAAGTAGTGGGTTTATTTGATACATAACTAGATATCACAAAGTGGAAGACAAAGTTCCACAATAGAAGTGAAAAATAAGGTACTATAGACATTCAGAGGAGGAGAAGATGAACTTTACTTGGTGATCTTAGAAAACTCTTCACAAAGATGTAGTCACATTCCCTGAACTTCCAGAATTATCAGAGGCAGGCTGTGTCAGGTTGGGAGAATGGATTCCTATCTCGGCAAATGTAAGAAGTCAGAAAATCCTGGGAAATGTACGGGGGCAATGAGTAGATCAGTTCAAATGGTGAAGTACATGAAAGGGGAGAAGAGGAGAGAGGGAGTGAGGTTGGAAATGTAGAGCGGGGATGTATTTCAGAAACCTAAAGCATAAGCAAGACTAGAGTAGGTGAACTTCATCCCGTAAGCATTAGGGGGCTACATGGGGCCGGTGCTCAAGGCTGTATGTGAGTAGAATCATGCTGTGGGAAACGGCGAGCACAAATGTTGGAGAATGACCTGATAGAAGGTACTCTTAAAGGTTGATGATGGTGACGTGGTGGACATTTTGGAAGGTTCTGGCAACTCTTTAGAAGAGGGGAGTAAAAGAGATTCAAATGTGATTCAAAACATTTTGAACTGGGTACTGGAAGCAGAGTTCTGCCATTAAAAGAAATGGGCAAAACGGAAGAGCAGGTGTGGGACAGAAAACTGCATATCCAAGTCTAGAAGTATCAGTTTGGATGATAGAATACAGAGTAAGAATTATGGGAGTAGCCTTTAGAATTAATTTAGAGGCTGGAGATATACCCCCGTAATCATTTCTGTTATCTGACAGCCTGTGATTTATGAATTTTTCAAAAGAGAGATTAGAGAGAGAAAAAAGAAGATTAAGAATAGACAGACAGGGGCACCTGGGTGGCTCAGTCGGTTAAGCGTCCACCTCTTGGTTTTGGCTCAGTCATCATCTCACAATTTGTGAGTTTAAGCCCCATGTCAGGCTCTACACTGATAGTGTGGAGCCTGCTTGGGATTCTCTGTCTCCCTCTTTCTCTGCCCCTTCTCCACTCACCCTGTCTCTGTGTCTCAAAAAATAAATAAACATTAAAATAAAAAGAATAGACAACCAGGGAACACCCACATTAATGGGGTTAGGAAAAAAAGTAGAAAAATGGACAAAAGAGAAGTGTTAGAAGGAGGGGCGCCTGGGTGGCTTAGTTGGTTAAGCGTCCGACTTCGGCTCAGGTCATGATCTCACAGTTTGTGGGTTTGAGCCCCGCGACTGCCAGCTCAGAGCCTGGAGCCTGTTTCGGATTCTGTATCTCCCTTTCTCTCAGACCCTCCCCTGCTCATGCTGTCTCTCTTTCTCTCAGAAATAAATAAAACATAAAAAAAAAAAAAAAAAAAAGAAAGAAATAAAACATTAAAAAAAAAAAAAAAGAAGTGTGAGAAGGAGAAGGAGGGCCCAATGTCATGGAAACCACTCTAGGAGAGACTTTTTAAGAAGAAGGTGCCCATGAGTGCCAAGTGTATACCTTTAGACTGTGCAGCAGTTGAAACCACATATCATCTCTGTCGCATTTGATTTGCTACCCCCTAGTACCTAGCAAAATGCTCTGTTCATAATCAGCAAAATTTTGCCAGACAAGTAGTTTTTTGGTGGTTCTGTCTGGAGAGATCTGGCTGTAAAGAAATGTACATAGAGGTAAAAGAATAAAGCATTGGTTGGAAATAAGAAATTAAAAGTGGACGATGAGACAACGTAGTGGAATGTTGGTGACAATTAGATGGACTTCTATGCCGATGTATGACTGTCATAAATACAGTGTTGTATACACACCGAAAGATTAACATCTCCAGAACGGGGGAGCCAATGACAAAAACAAGAAAGAAAAGTCCCAGATAGGAGTCTTAGTCTCAGGCTGTTTTTAACATCTGTACAATAAATCTACTTACGCTAGCATCTGTTCTTATTAAGTAAGGAGAGAGGTACACCAAGTAATATGATGGCCATATGCCATTCCTCTGGAAGTTAACCTTTAGTCTGTTATTAGTAAACAATAGGAGAGCAGTCAACAAATGCAGCCAGCAATGGTGACGTGTCCAGCGTTGCAAGCTGGTCTGGATGTCACAGGTGTGTACAATTAGGAAACGTGCTCAGACTTCGTAGTGACAAAAATGCAAATGAGGAAGCATTTGGTATCAAGAAAGGTTGATAAAACTCCATTTTAAATTGTCTCAAGGTTTCTTTCTTTCTTGGCCCACCTCCTATGCTGCATTCAAGTGTAGTATGTTAATCTGGAACTCTGTCGCCGAGTTCTTTTCAACAAGTGCACGCCAGAATGACTCTGTATAAAGGAAAGCGTGTTGGCTTGACAGGAAATGAGGTCCTACGGCTTGCACATTTCTTTCTTAAAACGTGTGATTCAGCGGGCCAGTGCCCCATCCCCATCCCCCCCGCTCACCGCCCCTGCCCCACCCGTGATTGCTTCGCAGGCCACGGCACGTGTTCCTGCGGTCGCTGCGTGTGTGAGAGAGGATGGTTCGGGGCGCTCTGCCAGCACCCGCGGAAGTGTAACATGACGGAGGAACAAAGCAAGAGTCTGTGTGAATCAGCAGATGGCATATTGTGCTCGGGGAAGGGTGAGTATCCCCTGCGGAGCTTGGACGGGCTCCCTGTTCTGACACATGGTTTGTACAGCGGCGCGTACAACCTCTTACAAGCCTGCGCTGTGCGGGGTGAGAAGCGCTCTGTCCTGTGCGTGTACCAGGCTTCAGACTTGAAAGGGAACCGCGTGACCTTGGGGATCTAAGAACATGAAAGGCGCGGGAAGCGTTTCCAGCAAGAGGGCTCCCCCGCTTGTACATATCGTCGTTGCTGAGTGACATGGAATTAATAATTGTATAAAGAAGAGAAGACTGATGGATGTGGGTGGGGGGGGGGATGGGCATGGAGGAGGGCACTTGTGGGGATGAGCACTGGGTGTTATGTGGAAACTAATTTGACAATAATCTATTTGTAAAAAAAATAAAATAAAATAAAAAAATAAAAGGAATAAGGAAAAAAAAAAAAAAAGAAGAGAAGACAACAAGATACAATGAGCAATGAATGGACCTGGGGAAAAAGGCGACAGGGTAATTGTTGACTTCGCTGTGAAGTAGCACAGCCCAGACCTGCAGAAAAGCCATCACAAGTGTCTGAACTGCCGACAGGCACGACTTTGGGAACGTCAGAAGCTAGATTATGGAGATGGGTGTGTGGAGGAGGGGAGGCTTGAGGGTGGGAGAGAGACAAAGAGGGAAACTAATACTTTGTTTCGTAAAAAAAGGAAGAGAGGAGTATATGGATCCCCAAATTCTGGTGTCATTTTTTTGGCCTAAAAATCATTAATATTCCAACCAAACATGTGATCTTATATATATGATATATGTCATCATATATATATCATATATCATCATATATATCATATTATATATAATATATGTGTGTTGATATATGTATATAAAAATATATATTAACACATATCATTTATATAATTAAGCCTGCAAGGTGGTTATAATTTGCAAGCCAATTGAGTAGGAGCCACCATCCCAATTGAACATTTATCAAAGAAACAAATTCTAGAAGAACAGCACTCTCACCCGTTGTCTCCCGCGCCAACTGACCGAGAAAAGCAGAACAGACTTTTTTTTTTGAGACAGAATATGAATAGATTATATTTCAGATACCTTGATGTTGATGTTTCTGTATAAGTTCTGGAAGGGACTTTAAAAATCCTCTTCTCCTAGTGCATATGGGCCCATCTAGGAAGGAGGCTGTGACGTTCCTCCTTGCCAGCACCTACAAAAACACCAGGAATGCTCTGGAAGCTTGCCGGATTCTTGGTAATGTTCTGGAGCTGCTCTCCGTGGAACTAGATGGCAGGGAGGATGCCGACTTCTTCAGCGGTCTCCTTGCGGAGCAGAGGGCCCCCTCCCCTTTTCACACCGCTGGAGGTGAAATGCCTACCCTGGGACTGGATTAGCACGTAAATCTCTTTCTGAAGAAGACACAGTGAAGCAACGAGAATGGCTAAATAGTGAGAACAGGGCTTCTGAAGCAGGAGGCGGGTGGGGCTGCGCCCCTACACAGTGGCTGCTGCTTTACCCTTCACCAAAGGCCAGCACTATCAGGTGCGAAGAGGTGCTTCTGCAAAACCACAGAGATAAAATCAGATGGAGTGCTGTGACCACATATGGTGCCAGGGGGTAAGGCTGAAAATTGAAACCTGCTCAATTTTAATAGACAGCCATGCTTGCCCTTGGTTCCCAGGTATGCTGTGTTTTTGACCGTGTGTTTGCTGCGCTCTGCCAAGGAGGCCACCACGCCTTCAACCTAATGCAGTGACAGCCAAACAGGCTTAAAGCAACCACTTTGTTCCCTGGTTGTTCTCTTAATAAAATCATTCTAATTCCAACTCCCAGAGGCATCAAGCACCAGTTTGGCTCTTGGGGGAGAAAGGGTTCTCAACTCCTGGAAACACTTGCTTTAGGTTTGAGCCCTGCTGGGAAAAGCAGAAGCGGGTAAGGGACCATGGTGAAGGAGATTGACAAAGAACACAGAAAAGGAAGTGGGGATGGAATTAACCTTCGAGGTTGGAAGCTGAAGGGAAGAAAAGAAATGTTTCCAGATCCCAAGGCAGTGTCCTGCATGTAACAAAGCAGTGAGAATGATTAACCTGAGTTAGATTTCTCCTCTTTTTTTAATGTTTATTCATTTGTTGAGAGAGAGAGAGAGAGAGAGAGGATGAGTGGGGGAGGGGCAGAGAAAGAGGAAGACTCAGAATCTGAAGCAGGCTCTGAGCTCCGAGCTGTCAGCACAGAGCAAGGCTCAAACTCAGAGACAACATCAGGACCTGAGCGGAAGTCGGACGCTTAACCAACGGAGCCACCCAGGTGCCCCTAAATTGCTTCTTTTTTAGTAAAACTCCAAACACAAAGCTCTAAAGCTTAGATTTGCCTAGTTGGTCTTCCATAATGGCATTATCATTGGAATATGGATATTCATTTTTCATAGAAATTCTACGGAATGAGGATGCCCATCTGCATTGAAACATTAGTGTGTTTTTTTATATTCGTTTACTTCAAAAATTGTTCACACCGTGTGTGTGTGTGTGTGTGTGTGTGTGTGTGTGTGTGTGAGTTTACTAGATACACTATTGAATCATCAACGTTGTCCATGAGCAGGCCTTGGCTAAGTCATGTGCAGTGGCAGATACCAGAAGAAAACACAAAGCCAAACACTAGTAGCAGTCTGTCATTTCCTAAACTGAATTTCATACAAAAAGGAGTAGTTTCTTTTGAAGAAATGAACATTCTTTTTCAAGCCATTACTTTCTGTGGAGAGTCTAATTTTTCAATATCATAAATGTGGGAAATGCAAAGAAAAATACATTGACTACATATTGACCTAAAGGCATTTCCTCAAAACGAAACACACAAAGCAATGCAAGGAAATCTCTCTCTACTTAATGCCTTTTCAAATTGTTTGCTTTGGGTGATGGAAATATATCCAGAGATCAATGAAGGGTTGAAAGTATATTTGTCTAAACTGTTTATCCTTCAGTGAGTAGAGAGTTTTAGAGTCGTTAAACTCAAAAGGGAACATAGAAGCTGCCTGGAGGGTGTGCTCGTTTTAGTGATGATAGCAGGCATGCATACTGTTGGTGACTGTGGACCTCCTGTTGGTGACTGAGCTGACTGTGGACCTCCTTCTCTCCCCCTGTTTCGGAACCATCAGATTATAGAGGAAGGATTATAGAGGAAGAAAGGGGTCAAAACCAAGATCATGAAACTGTAGGCACAGAGGAGAGCAGGGCTATGGAAGTTTTTCCTGTCCCCACAGAGGATGCCATCCCATCTCCACCCCAACAGCCACAGGAAAAGTAGTCCAGGAAATAGACTAACACAACAGCCTTCTAACATGGTGGCCAAAATGAGAAGGCTGTTCCAAGGTACATGACTAGGACCATGTCTTGGTCTCATGGACTTTCCAGAAATTCATGTAGTTTTTCTTGAATCTGTTAATGAAAACCCCTCACCCTGATTATCACAGAGGAAATTAGAGCCCTTCTCTTTCTCCGCTTATGATGGGACAGAGGCATGGGGGAAGCCTGAGGTCACAAGGCTACCAGCTCACAGACCCCAGCCAGCCAAGTGTGTCTACCAGAAAGACAAGTCGAGAACGTGTGCTTCCCGTGAGCCTGAATAAAGTTGTCACCTCCGGAGACGATGAAGAAATAGCGTTTTATTTCTTTACAAATTGATAGCCAAGACAATAAATCACTCCATAGAAAATTTTAAAACAAGATACATTGTTGTGACCTTCATAACAGATGGAGTAGTTAGTACAATAGTGAAAAGTGCCTGCGGGGATGTCCAGTTGCAGCATTTTGTCAGGCTTGATGAACGAAAAAGGAAAGTCCAACTTTGTTAATGGGGCAGCTGACGAAGTCGCCTCGCCCTTAGACTCCAGTTGTTTCTGTGAATGACCAGAGGGATGAGCTTAGAGCCAGGTCTCCCCTGAGTTTAGCCACCTTTGCAGAATATGTGACATCATCCCTAGAATCTTTGGGGATTTATTTATTAGGATCCAAGTGTACACAGTAACCTTTTTACTTTCATAACTTCAACCTAGATACAGGCCATCACCTGTAATACTCTTAAAAATGCTGTTGTATGACAATGAGTGTAATTGCATATCATTGAATGTCTCCTTGAACTCTCCTGCAGGTACGTGCTGAGTCCCACATCAGCCCTGGAAGTCCATGGTGCTCACGCCCACCCACCTGTCCCACCCTCTCCCCCCACCCCTGCTCATCCTCCATCACCAGGAAAGGGAAAGGGTATCAGTGGCCCTTCAAAAACCACTTTGGGCTGGTTGCCTTGCCCGACATGACTGTCTCATCAGAGCCAAAAACATACAATTCGCTTTTATGAAATGATATGAAAGCTTTTCCTGTGAGAGGCATTATAGCTACGTAGACATGTAAAAGAATAGACCGAATGAGATTGAAATCTTAGGATAACTAGTGTTTCTGGGCCATGCGGTCCTGAGAAATTCCCTTGTCCTTCCTGTACTTCTATTTTCTCATCTTTGAAGATAGCAGAAGAATTTAATTTCCTTCCCCTTTAGTCCTAAGGATGTTATGAAGATAAATGAGAAAATGTGGCTGTTGACCCAGCAACAGAAGCCCGTAAGGGGCACAAAAGGGAGACTGGAGTCTTCTTTGGTGTCCTTACACCGAGAAGGAAAATAAATGGGTTAGTGATGTTGTGGTCCTGAGCTACCTGAGAGCTGCTGCCAAGATGGGCCAGCTGCACCCTGTGGCTGGAGTGTTCTCACGGGTGTGAGTGGGTGCCAGCCAGCTGGGCTCAACAGTTGATCACCTCATGGCAGTCATGTGGCCTATGTCCGTCTGACAGAATCTTCTCCCTAAATTTTTCCCTTTGCAAAGACAGGCAATTTGGCCTCTAGTTATTGATGAAAACAGCCAGAGCACTTTACAGCAAAGGCTATAAGAGGTCCTGATAACTATCCCACTGCGTTATCATTACACACTAGGTTATTCCTAGTCTCTCACAAGCCTTAGAAGAATTTCCAGCCTCTAAGATGCACTGAAAATTGACAAAGGGGAAGGAACACACAGCTGGGGAAGATGCTGAAGGAGAAAAGCTAGTCTTCATAGAACATACAGAAATCAACCCCCATTTTTCATTCTAAGTATTGCGGTAACTAGTAGATGTTGGGGACTGGAATTTACTTGTCAAACGATCTATCAGTGTCTACTATATTTATTGACTTGAGGTGACCAGTTAAGAAAATACTTTGATATGGCCAGAAGCTAAGCACTTCAGCAGCTACAGCAGCAATTAGAACAGCTCCAGAATCAGGGGATACGTTTGAAAATGAAATGTGAGATCTTCTCATGAATTGTGACAAAAAGTATATATATACTAGGTGTGATACACGAATACCATGGACATATAAAGTCATTTGCTTCTCCTGCTTTGTAGAATAATTTTGCAATGTAAGGGAGGTGCTATTTTAGAAACAACTAAAAACAGTCGAATTCTTCAAATAATTGATCTTCCTCTACTCGTGGAAATGAGGTGCTAAACATGATGCCTTCTGTAGAAATTTCAATGAAAAATCAATGGCATGCCCCATGTTTTCTTTGTTGTAGATAGATCGCTAAGTGTTTGCTAAATGAGCAGTTGAATGTTGAACATTTCTGTGCCTAAGAAAATTGAAAGAAAGTCTTTCAAATGAAGCTAAATAGATTTCTAAAGTAAGGAAACAATGTACTTGGACATGGGCAAGAAGAAGCCACCCTCCCCCACAAACTGTCCAGGAGGCTTAGCTCATATGTCCTGTGCACCCTGCCAGTCACTTATGAGAAGTGAAAGTTGTCTGGGTTGTACTCCAGAGCGTATAGATCAACCCAAACCTTCAGGAAAACAGTCTAGACTAAATGAAATCATGCTGTGGTTAAGCAAGGAGTTCATCAGTGTAAACACGGTTGTCGCTATATCACTATGTCTGACTACTCCCTTACCTTGAGAAGTGTGACAACGAGTGTCACACTTAATTCGGCCATTGGGGATTCTTGTAGCTAAATGCATATGCCAGTTTCCACGTGAAATATCACAAAGTGCCTAAGGCATGGCATTTATACAAGTGGATTTGGCATTTATACAAATCCTTTGATGATATCTGTGACAAATTCAAATTCCTTTCTCTAACCACTTTTATTGTCCAGCTTGCTAACTCATTTTGCAGTCACTGTGTTTCACAGAGGCACTACTTCATGACTGGCCCCCGTACATTTCGAACTGAGCAATCTGGAATTTGGTTAAATTATCAAAATACTACTTCTCCTTCACATCCTCTTAAGGTGATTTTTGATCTGAAAAATTTAGTGATACCCTTCATGTAGTGAAAGGAAATCACCTTGGGAAAGAAAAACCAATCCAAAGAAACAGAAGAAAAGGGGAGGTCCTCTTTATATGTGCTTCTGTTTTAATTTTAAAGTTGTCTTTACTGCTGCTATACAAGTGATTTTGCCGTGTGAGGGTTTTTGAGCCTGTCATGTAAAGACGTGTGGACCAAGAGAACTTTCTTCTCTTTGTGACGCCATTTAATTCATATATGTTCGTTTCTTTTAAGTGTATCATTCATGAAATTGTTTTTCAGTACATCAAAATAGTGCTAATAACAGAAGAGGATGTTTCTCATTAGGGAGGAAGGAAAAAGAGGGAAAATGTAAAGAGAAAGTTGGTTAGACTCAACTTTGAGCCTCATAGGAGATGAACGTTTTGGGAGGATCATACGTCTCCTCTATCATGGCGGGGGTCCCAGGGCGAGATCTCATAAGTCAGATGCACACAAGTGATCACGTGTACGTTTTGAGCACTTTTACAAGCCACCCTATGCATGCACGTGTGTTCCATCTTCAAGAAAATCATGCAGGCAAAAATCCAAAAGGAGAAGCATAGTAATGTAGTGGTAATTTTAATTATAAAATGCATCCTTATTTAATAGAATTTACCATTCAGTTCCTTTAAAGAGCAGACACTTTTAAAACATAATTCAATTCAGGGGGGAATAAAGCATCTATTTTTGAACACCTTTTTGGAAGGCCATCTCTAAGAATCAGCACATTCTGCTCTTATTGACATTTCAACCAGCCTGGGCCATGGAACATTTGCTCAAGGCTAATTGCAACTGTCTAGATCCATAATGAAGCCTTTCCCGGATGACCTTTATGAATGACGGTAAGTAAAGCTCCCCTCTGAGCAACAGGCTCTTCGATAAACTTTTACCTTTGGAAGATGGGTTATTAGAAGCCCGTTGTCCGTGTGGTGATGATGTTCTATTCTAGTCAGAAACCTTTAGTGATGATGCCCTTTGTGATTTCAGGTTCTTGCCACTGTGGGAAGTGCATCTGCTCTGCTGAAGAGTGGTACGTTTCTGGAGAGCTCTGTGACTGTGACGACAGGGACTGTGACAAGCACGACGGCCTCATTTGCACAGGTGCAGTGTGACCTGCTTGGTTTGCTCCACGCCTCTGGTTTGTGAGAAAGACAAACGGCTCCCCACCCTATGGTGCTGCCCGTGGCTGTGTGTGTGGTAGATACTGCTATCCCAATTACCGAGTCCTGACAGTTGGTTAGAAAATACTTGTGGGGAAGTGGAGATGTAGATAAAGTTCAACTGGAGTGATACAAGATGGTCCCTGCGGAATGGATACTGCATAGTTGGTGGTACCAAGCAGGTGCTGCTAATCGTTTGAAAGATTAGATCTCCCATAGCTATTTAATAAGTTAATAGCAGCACATCCACGCAGTAAAATCTGCAGAGGATGAATGAAATGGTTTTGGTTAGGAACAGTTATAGTTTATCGTACATACTTGAACTTGGGGTATGGTTTATAGTGACATACTAGAACATGGTGCCTTTTGGTCATGATGATGACCCTCCGGGTATTTTATTGCAGGGAATGGAATATGTAGCTGTGGAAATTGTGAATGCTGGCGTGGATGGAATGGAAACGCGTGTGAGATCTGGCTCGGCACAGACTACCCTTAACTACCACGTGGGACAAGACTGCATTCTTATGTTTCTAGGCCATTAGGACACACAAATGCAAAGGAAACCATGTATAATCACCACTAGGACAGGGCAAACAGACTATTGCATATTTTTCTATTTCTGAATGCCTGAGTGAAGGCTGGGCACCCATTAAAAAATGAGTTAGGAAAAATCTGAAGTAAAGAAGGCCAGAAAGAATTTCTTCTCCAGAATTTGTATTTGTGGTGGTTCTCAACAAGGGTGACTTTGCCACACCAGAAAATGTTTGGTGATGTCTGCAGATAATTTCAATTGTCACTGGGTGGGCTGGGGAGGGTGTGCTAGTTCATGGAGGCCTCTAGTGCATGGAGGACATAGATGCTTCCATAAACATCCCACGGGGCACCAGACAGCCACCACGACAAAAATGTCTCTGACTCCACATGTCAATAGTGCTAGAGTTGAGAAATGCTAAATTACATGGTTGTTAGACACGCATGTCTTTCATGAAAAAAGACCACATTTGAATCTAAGGAAAAGATATATCCTCACATAAATCCATCCGTCATATTTTCTCAGATTCCCTATCACTCAGCATTTCCATCTGGGATCAATAAAGACAAACGGGCATAAGGAATAATGTCTGGCCCCCCAGTGCGTTTTAAAGAAAAAGACTTGTCAGGTTTAGTCAGTAAGTCATTTGTGTGGTCTCACTTTAAGTTCACAAAAGAAGATTCCCTTAGGGAAGGAAGTATGAAAAATGTACAATTTAACATTTTTAATAAATAGTGACATAAGTTGCTCACAATCTGTGTCAATATGTATTTCCCTACTGATGATTAACAACAAAAAAAATGAATTGGTATTCAGGGGCACCTTCTATTACTAGATCATTTTTTAAACTGGGCAGGGTACAAGGTATCTGATTTTTCACTATTTTAAATTACTCCATGGTAACTTGCCTCTTAGAAAGAATATCTAATTGGACATAGGATGGGCCTGAAATATGCATTCATTTCCCTTAAAAGATTCTTGTTTCTAAGGCTACATTATTTACTGCAAAAGTAGGGTTATGCAAAGAAGTCAAGAAGAGATACTGTGATCAAATGGCACCAGTTCAAAGCTCAGAGGATTAAAAAAAAAAATCTAAAAATGTCTTAAGTAGAAATTACAAATATTCACTCAGCAATAGGAACAAAATGTTTATTTTCTTAATGGTGAAATTTCGCTCTGTATGAAATTCACATTGAATTATGAAAATGTACAATAATTAGGACTTCCCTTACATATGTACAGTTAAATCTACTTACACACATTAGTTTAGGCAACCTTTAATTATTTGGAGCTAAAAAAACCCACTTTTTTTTTCTCTAAATGTGAATTATATTTTGTAAAATCCTAGAATAATGTAACAAAATCATTTCCACATTGTTTAAGATGAAAATTTTTACTTGGAAATTTTACTTAATGATGTAAGTATCCTAGAGTCATGGCTTGGACTTTATTAAGTCAAATCACCAAAAATTAAGGAAAATATGTGTCTGCCGAGTTACTTAAAAATTTAATATTGAAAGTTATTTAAGAGAAAATTTATCTGATGCTGACTTTGATAGTACTAATAGTGTTCTGATACTTTAATAGATTTATAAAATTATCTCTATCCTGAGATGATGGAAGTGCAACCGTATTAGTTGTATCTCTATTATTGAGTATGTCCATTGATATATCAGTTTTGTAAAATGAGGGAAATATAAGCAGTTCAGAAATCATATAGATGATATTCTTTCCTCCTCTCTAGCTAATCATTTTTAGCCTCAAACAAACCTATTGTAATTGTTCAGTAGCATTTTGATGACTCGATGATGCACAATCATCAGAATTCACTATATCACGTACCTTCCCAGACTGAAGAGCTCTGCTTTCCGTGAAGGACCAGATAGTCAATACTTTAGATTACGTAGGCCACCTACATCTCTGTTGCATGTTCTTCTCTGTTTGTTTGTTTTTAATACTTTGAAACTTTAAAAGGAAAAACAGAACACTCATTCCGAGCTCCTGGGCCATACAAAAGCAGACTGCATGCTGGATGTGGCTCCCAGCTGAGCAGAAGTTGCCAACTGCACTCTACTGGAGATGTCCTCGATTCATTCCCTTTGTCTTAGTCTGTATTCCTGGGTGTGTCGCAGTTTTCTCGTAACTCCCTCTCCTTGTTATCCGTTTGTATTAACAACTACAACAAAAGGGCTTTGCTTTTTATGTTTTCATAGAAGGAAAATGCCCTCAGCATGTATGTTTTGTTTTGTTTTGTTTTTTTAAGGAAAGGTTTCGATATGGAGAAATTATTATACTTTGAAGTTCGAAATGGGATTTGTTCAAATTTTTTGACAGGGCTGAAAATACAGTCAGCTGTTTTCTGGGTTCATTTAGCTACAAATTAGTGAACCAAAACTGAGTGATAGCCTAAGTCATGTGGTATCTAATCTCTAAGGAATATTTTTTCTTTTAAAATAGAAATATTTTCTTTTTACTCCTTTCTGTCTGCTATATTTCATATGTGTGTATGTGATTTTGACTCTAGCAATGCAAACATCAATAGATATATTAAGACGTTATTTAATTTACATGTTTAAATTGGAAAAAATAAAATATAGTTACATGTAAAGACGCAAATCCTACCCTTCTTCAATGTGATTTTGTATTTTGACTTTCAGTTTGGTCACTAAGATAAAAACTCCCTCTTTCAAACAAAGGCAGGGCAGGAACAAGCTTGTAATAGGTGAAGGGTAAATGTGCGAATCTCATCGGCTTGTTCGAGTTTGTGTGAAGTTACAGGGAGATTAACGTCAGTTGGGAAGGGATGTGACCGGACCCGTTTGCTGCTGGTATTGGCACGCACCATGCTTGTTGGCAAACCGTTACTGAGGAATTCTTCCACAAGGACTTTTCAATATAATTCGACTGAGGTCCTAAGACCCAAGAGGACGGTCATTATACCCCACTTTCTCTCTGCACCCTTCAGCTAATCTAAATGCCTGCAGCACCTTGAAAGGAATGGCTGCCACCACCTCAAATACAAACACAGTCTCTGCCAGCAAACATCAGGATTAGACTGAATGATACAGAAAACTGAGAAAAAAATTAAAACAATCACAACTCAGCCTTTGTTTGCAGACTCACTATCAAAACTTTGAAGGCCTACTCAGTATCCAAGAGTCTGCAGGCCCTGTGTGCCCCCCTCGTAAGCTAAGAAACTTAAGCTGGGAAATGTATTTTACTCTCAAGTGATACAGTTCTCATCTGGATGTTGGTATATCTGCATTTAGCCAATTGCTTTCCCTGGAAATAGTCTTGTTCTGAAATAAAATGGAAAACAGTTTTCAGTTATTTTCTTTCCTTCTGAAATGGGTCTCTTAGTCAATCTGGGTCTCTCCTTCAAAAGTTAATTCTCCCTGTAATATTAGCACTAAAACCTTAAATGAAGTGATCTGAGTTTTAACTTAAGGAACATTTGGTTGTTGTCGTTTGTTTTTGGTTTGGTTTATAAAGGAAAACCAAATCTAATATTGGTCACCTCGGAAACATCTGGCTGTTTTCGTGCTTTCGGCATTAATTGAGCAACTGGGCAGGCATGCTAAAAATCCTCACTCTGCTTACTGTCCAGGAGGTAAATAATGAGAAGGACCACAGCAGGCATCTTGCGGGCCCATTTTGGAGCTCCTGAAGCCACTTCCTCCTACCCCAAAACCCTCCAGGCAAGCACACATTTAGAGCAAGAATCTCTAAATTCTGCAGGATTTATAATGAACTGTTGCTCAGTACCATTTTACTCTTTACATAGGGTGCACCACCTGCATCTCGTCTACAATTTTTCCAAGTAAAGTTGTAGCAAAACATTTTAGAAAGCCAACCTAAAATAAAAATGGGGTCACTTGGAATATCAAAACAATTAACATTCCCGAGCATTGCTGAGGGATGAGTGAAGCAATCAGCTACCATAACAAATCAGTAGAAATAACTCTCCCTTACCAGATATGCATGCAAAAGGAATGTGACGTTAGAGAGACTCGATGCAACTGACATGTGTACATGGAGGTACAAAACACATGGTCCGTAGATACAAATGAATTCCATCGGATTTACTATACAGAACATTGAGAATGACAGACTGCACTTACTTCATAACAGCAAACTTAATTTTTGAGGGGAAAACTGGTGGAGTCTTATCCCAGAAAAATAGCGAGAGAGGTATCATCAAAGAGCTAAAATTTTCTTTGGCATGGTAAAGGGGGAAATTGAGTGTACCAACTTATTTACATGACATTTCTCTATATTTGTGGGTGAAGCGATGCCATTTTGTTACATAAAGTTGTTTGATGTTTTGTAATATGCCTTCACGTCAATATTTTATTCAGGATGTTGTATGTGTGAATACAACAAATGGTATTAAACACAGAAACTGTACAATGCAGACAAACTCTTCGTATGTAAATTGAATAATACATACCACAGTTCTTGATACGTAGGTCCTACTACATGCAGTTCACCAGTGCTGACCTTGTCCCATGCAATAGGTGAGACCAGACACAGAGGAAACAGTCTAATTTACAAATAACAAGGACCCGTCTGCAATATGTCTAAACATATATTAGAAGAAAGTATTTGACATCCATTCATAGGGATAAATGCCCTTAGAGACAACTCATATAAAAAACAAAACAGAGATGCACATTTACATAAGTCTCAGTCATTTACAAAAATAAATCTTGTCTTCATTTTAACCGATAAACAGGCTCGCAGTGGGAAAAAAACCAGCAAGTAGGGCTGATTACCAAAAAACAAATAGGTGGTGTTGTTTGGTGTGTGTGTGTGTGTGTGTGTGTTTACCAAAAAACAAATAGGTGGTGTTGTTTGGGGTGTGTGTGTGTGTGTGTGTGTGTGTGTGTGTGTGTTGGGGGGAGCAGTGTGTAGAAGCCCATCTGATTGGAATGTCAAGTTAAATAATCCATAGTTTGCCATATATTATAGAATATATGTCTTCCCTAAATAGTTGGTTCATGAAACTCATCTAACATATTTTAACTCCTCCTGTTGAAAACAACAGGCCTTAAAATGGTGTAACAGGAAATCAAGAATGGTCAAAGGAATCATTTTGTAATGTTCGTACTTTAGCGTTATTGACAATAAATCTACTCAAACGTTATGCTAACTTTTTATTTATTAAAATGAAATCCAATATGAAAATGAAGTAAGCATAAACAGTTAAATTTATACTAAATCTTTAATCAGCTAAGCAGGCCAAAATTTTTAAATGCCGGGCAAGGGCTGTCATGGAGACTTAGGAAAGCGGTGACAAAATAATTTCCGAGAAAATACAGAGCAGATGGGGGGGTGGGGGCGGGGAGGGATGGCGACTGGGTCAGCCTTCCATGTGGAAATAATAACAAGAGGCCAGTACATGATACCACATAGAGTTTTCTATAAATGAGGTTCAGTTTGGTCTCAGTTAACTCTTCTGAGGAGAAAACATTTAATTTTATTAAGTATACACAGAGTTAACAAATATATTTCCAAACAGTTGCATATTAAACATTTTGAAACTCTTTATATCCAATATCGAACGTTTTGCATGGTTTCTTCCCTGTACCCTCAACTAGATACATGGCCTTTCTTAGCAGTTGTCTTCCCTAAGCTCAGAGTTATACAAAAGGAAATTAAGAAAGCGAGATAAAACAAAAGCAAATCAACTGAATGGACCGAAAACCTGATGTGTGAACGTGTTGGTTTGCCTTGAATTTTATCCAGAATAGTTCAACAGACTGCATTCTGAGATCATGGCAAGGCACCTCTACCCCAGCCACTGGGCAACGGGGGTCCCAAGAAGCTGAGTTACAGGTTTGGGGTGGCGAAATACACAGTACCTGACTCAGCATGCTGAGCTAAAAAAAATATTTTTTCCTAATAATATGTCCAGTTTTAAAAACTTGTCATTAAACACCAAAAATATTAAAGTCTAATTTATAACTAACGTTTGCATTGCTGCTGCAGAAAAAGAACACAACAGCCGCCTTGCCCATGCTCTGCTGAGTATGAGTGGAACGCAGCCAAAACTGGGGATGGCATTCAGTTCGGTTCATTAAAAACAGGTAGGATTATATCTGAAATGGATTTAGGTAGCGCAATTCTTGTAGGTTGTAATTATTGAATTTTCTTTTCTCTTTTTTTCCAAATAATGAGGGTTAGTAGATGAAAAAATGAACCTTAATCAGGCCTACAAGGCCTACAGAGTTCTTTGGACCCACTTTCTCAAAAACCAGTGGGTCTTGCTCGCTGGGCAAGGCAAATGTTACCATTAGCCAGTAAGCTTGTGATATGTATAAAACACACACACACATGAAGAAACTATAGGGGGATGTCAAACACACATCTTTAGAGAACTTCCCCTGGACTGTGTTTGACCCATGTCTCACCCCGGCCAGCCGACCAGAGGAGCACAGTATCTGCTACTGGACAGAGCGTATATGTGTGTTTAATCGAGAGTGGGAGCCGGAGACAACACTCTTAATCTTTATAGATGCAATTTGTACTAATAGGTTGAGAAGGCTTCCTGATTCCCTGATCGCTCTCCAGACTAAGCCAACTGCAACATTTAAGATTTAGAGGAATACAATCCCCGCAAAAGGTCACGGACAGTGGAGCGGGCAGCCCTGTAAAAAGGGGGGAAAGAGAAATCCATAATAGCACAGGTTTACAGCGTCTAACTAGAAATTACTCAATAGTATTTGTGTGCTACAAAATTGAACTTAAACACATGGATTTCGCTGAAACAGGACTCAAAAAGGATTATGGGTAGCTGTCAGCAGGCAAGGTATCGAGTGTACTTGTGAAGTATGTCATTCACATGAAGTGTCACAGTCACAGAAAAGATATTAAAAAGGCATTCCATATCTGGTCGGGCATTCCATGGTCTGAGTTGAGCTGGTTGTCCAGGTGTCTTCTTGTTCTGGGGGTGCAACAGGTTGAAGATTTATCCACTTGCAACCAAGAAGTTCGAGACAGCAAAGAGCAAGCGTTGGCTTACTTCTGGCCGCTCCTCAGCCCGGGAGCAGGAGTGTCTGGCAAGGATAAATCACTCAACTGTGCTCAGGACGAGTAAGTCACAACACCTGTGAGGATCTGGCTATGTTGTCTTACTTTTGTTGACTGGTTTGCCTCCATTCATTATTGCCGATGCACTTGTGCTTTTACTTGGCGTCACCCCAGCCTTCGGGACCGTTTCTCCAACGTCGTGCAAAGATGGTTCTCGGTACATGGCAACTGGGGACGGGCGGCGGGGCGTGAAGAAGGGAGGAAAGGAGACATTAGAGCGGTTAGGTCAAGAGTGGCCAGACCTGACGCACCAGAAGTATGCAACCCCGCCTAGAGGGGACTTCCTGTGTTAAAGCAGTAATTTCCTGCCGCTGAACGGAAGACAGCATTTCCTCTGCATTCTCCGGCTTGTGTACCTAATATGTTTTTGGGTGTGCGTGGGGTCTTGTCCAGGAGAGAAGGTTTAAACAGCAGCGATGGCCTCTTTGTGGGGCTCAGATATAAAGCGCGCGCACACACACGAATGGCAAGCACTTAACCTGGTTCTCTTTCTCCAGCCAGGAAAACTCATACTCCCTTTCCACTGCAGCCTGATGTCCACACCGAACCCCCTCGCACCCATTCATCTTTTCAAGTCCTGGTATTTACTCTCCAGATCATCACATTATTTTCCTCTCAAGTGGTTCAAAAGCAACATAATCGCACTAGCGTCAACTTCAAAGCTATCCAAAGCAATATCAACTCAATTTCCTTAAGCCAGGGCCTTCTGGAGACCATTCTTTAGTTTTCCTCTCCCACCCTCATGGAAAGAGACCCCTAAAAATCTGAAGGCATGGGTGGGGCATTTTGTATTTTTATGCCTCGTTCTGATATATTATGAAAAACCTGATAATTGATGTCATATAAGGCAGAAGCACAGAATGGCAAGAGGGCACGTGGGATGGATGCCCAAGGAATCCTGAGGAATTGCTCCAATAGTGTCCAGTGGCTCAGTTAATCACAGCAGTTCACATGGCTTTTTGGAAAATGGTTCTAGGGAACCCTGCAAAAGGACATTTAAGGGTAACTGATGCTTGGAGAAAATTAGCTGAGTTAAAATCATCTGCCATCTCAGGAATTAGAGCTGTCTAACCTTCTTTTTAGGCTTTGGAAAGGGTCCGGTATTTTATGAAGAGACTCTGTATTTGGTTGTATGGAATGCACCGTTCTCCGTGCTCAAGATGGCACAGTGTCTTTTGCATTAATGCAGCATTTGGATTTTCAGCAGCACACAGGCTTGAAAGTGCATGTGTACACCAGACCTGCATGAAATGACTTGGCAAGGTAGTAAATGGGATTAATCCATATCCTTGAAGCATTTTCCAATCTCTCTGCTCTCACTCCTAATTCAATTAGGAGACAATAGCAGCAGAGCATTAACCTTGATTGTCTACGTGGTGAAGTTGTGTAAGAGATAGGAATGCCCCAGAGCATCAATAATTAATCAAGTACCTAATTTGCTGTAAACATTTCCAATCATATAATTTACATCCTGTAGGGGTTTTGAAAGTTTGAAATTAATCCTCCTCTATAACTTACGCTATTTGATAACCTCTGTCATTATAATATCCCCTTAATTGTTCTTAGAGTACCTCTGTCTGCTAATTGTTTGAAAATACTGTTTCTCTCTGCCTCGAAAATACATAAATGCACCACACGCACACACACACACACTCAACTCTTCACTGTATGATTCAAATACCAAGTGATATTATTACACCTCATCTCAGTCTCTGATATTTCCTGCTAGATATACAAAAATAGCTGGTCTCCAGACTTTGCTTCAGTTAAGAGACATAAAGTCCCTTTTGATTTCCATTACATTTATGTAGTTAAAATATAAGGTTTTAGAAATTTAGTTAATTCTCATCTGTTCATATTCAACACAAAAGCTAATATAAAGAGACAAAGCAAGGTGGCAAATAAATCCAGATTTTTCTAGACCTGCTATGGACTTAATTGTTTTTTAATTTTTCACTTGCATTTGACTATTGGTGAGTCTGATGGTCTCAAAATTCATCAATAAAAAGTAAGGACAAGTCACAGAGGTGTTACTTTGGAAGAATAGCGAAACTCTCTCTTCTACCCTAGTTGTCTTATGATCTATCATGTAATGAGAATAGTTCACTCATATTGCAGATTCTGGCACAATTCTTCCTTTCTGAGATGGGCCATGGTGGTTTCAATGGCTTGTTCTGTAGGCAAATGGAGTTAAGGGGATAGTAAGCCATTATTGGTGAAATTATATACGTGGTGTTAATCAACAAGACTGGTTTGCCAACTTAGGCAAACTGAGAGCTGAATTATGTATTCACAGATCATTAATAATTAGCCCTTAATATTCCAAATTATCTTATTTCTACATAAGGAATGTGGATTACAAAAAACCAATGTACATTTTCTCTTGATGGCTAAACCTTTCTTTAGGAACAAAAAAACAAAAGGAAAATCAAACTAAGTTAGATGAAAGTGTTTATTTAGTTATTATAGATCTGCTTTTTTTGCCAAAGGTAGGCAAAAGTATTTGAATAGACAACACTTTTGAAATGCCTCAATGTCAAATTTTTTTTGTAGTTCTCAAATATTATGTAGATAAGGTAAATGGCACTTTGGGCAGAATCCTTTATGAGAAAGGTGCAGATGTTTCTGATTAATTATCAACACTTTGTGGCCTGCTCTCTGGGAATCTGATCAAAGTAAATGCGAAGGCTTCATTTTTTCCAGGTGAATATAAAAGAAAGTGGTGTCACACCAGAGTTTACTAAACAATTATATGGTTGGAAGGGAGATCTGTAACATCAACAAACTCTCTGAAGGTCAAGTGATTAACTCTTCATTTTCTGTAATTACAATAAGTCACAGATATGTGATTACTTTCAGCTAGATACCATCAAAATAGGCAAATACTTGTATTCCATAATTTTCAAAATTTAGCTATATATGTATATGTGTCCATTTACGTTTATAAACTCCATCAATTTGTGTATCTATATGTATATATACACATAATACATTCACATATGCATATAAAGTGTACAAATCTTAAATTCAGAATTAAAGTAGACATCTGTGTGATTACCACCCAGATCCAGGTATGGAAAATCCCCAGCATTCCAGGAGGTCCCTTGAAGCCAATGTAGAATTAGCAATGGGGAAATGTGTGATAAACTAAAAAAGAGAATGTACACAGAACACTCACCTTCCAATGGCTTGGGTAGAAAATGAGCTGCTGGTTTGGTTTTCTTTACTCTGTTTCCTTTCATGACTTGCCCTTCCTTATTCAATCCCAAAAACCAGGCTCTACCAGATTCCTGTTGTCTGTACAGCATAGATGAGTAGATTACATAATAGTTTTCAAAAACAGATTCTTTAAACTTGCATTCAGGGGTAAAAAGTTCCTGTTGAGAGAAGAGGAAGAAAAGACAGTTAGAGGAAGGGATGGAAGCTTCCCTGAAAATTTTCTTTATTCCTCCAGAAACTTGTCTGCCAGGCTGAATGAGTCAGCCTTTGGGCAGGGATGACCACCCGTACCTTTGTCTTCATGTGCTATTTGCACATGTTTTTCAACATGCAATGGATAGAGAAGAATCTGCTACTATTGGGAATATATACAGAGGCAAGAGTATGGATGCCCTTTCGCAAGAAAATCGGAGACAAGCACAAACTCAGTACAGTATCATTGAAACAGAGTACATTTCAACCAGGGTACAACCAGAAAAAGCACAATCAAGTAGCATCGTAGTTTTACAACATGCTAAACAAAAATAAGACATATACTTATGGAATTTGCTCATCTATTTTCACTGTTTCTATAGGAATAATTGTATGTTCCCCTAGTAGTTGGTAGCTGTGCACTAGGTCACCGATAGGATAGGGTGATACATTTTACCTACAAAGAGACAAACCAAAAACTCAAACGAAAACCATGACAATCAGCTGGCACACAAACTACCCACGGGAGCTGAGGCCGGGTGTATAGAGGCTGCTCATAATGATGGAGCTGGAAATAATGACCTAATTCCATGCTTTGGAGCACTGCTGTAGTTCTTTTTTTTTTTTTTTAATTTTTTAAAATATTTATTTATTTTTGAGAGAGAGAGAGAGAGTCAGAGCATGAGTCAGGGAGGGGCAGAGAGAAAGGGAGACACAGAATTAGAAGCAGGCTCCAGGCTCAGAGCTGCCAGCACAGAAGCTGACATGGGGCTCGAACTTGTGAACTGTGAGATCATGACCTGAGCCAAAGTTAGATGCTCAACCAAATGAGCCAACCAGGCACCGCACCCCAAGTGGAATTCTTGAAGAGAAACATCAAAAGCTGCCATGACCACAATCCACCCAGCTTTTCTGGAAAGGGTAAAAATAAATTAAGTGCCCTGAGTCTCAATGCCATGATCCCCACTGATGAGCAGCCCAAAGCTCACTACTTTATGATTATCATTAATGACATAAATATTCATAGAAAACTTTTACACATTTCTTTTTTAAAAATTTTTTTAAATGTTTATTTATTTTTGAGAGAGAGAGCTGGGGAGGGGCAGAGAGAGATCTCGGGAGGAGCAGAGAGAGAGACACAGAATCCGAAAAAGGCTCCAGGCTCTAAGCTGTCAGCACAGAGTCTGACATGGGGCTTCAGCCCATGGACTGTGAGATCATGACCTGAGCTGAAGTCAGACACTTAACCGACTGAGCCACCCAGGTGCCCCATACATACTTCTAAACTTTAATCGACAAAGGCGTTTCTGACAGACTTCTATTAAAAATAATTTAAACTTCAAGCTTCCTAGTTATACACATGGAAAGCACTTAACTAGTCTTTGTGGTCTTTGTGGCTATTTTAAGTAGTTCAACACTGCTAGTCTATATATATGAAATATAGATGCAAAATAGAGGTTTCTTGTTATTGACCTTTTAAAAAATATCACTGTATTTGAAAAAAAATTTCACCTGAATAGATTTTTATGATTGCAGAAAATTCCGAAGGGAACAGGTTTTGTTAATGACAGACGCTTTTTATGACAAAGATAACAGATCCAAAAGGTGATTGATTTGATGTGATTAAAGTAGCCAAAAGATGGGCTTGACTCCTCCCAAAGGAATTTATGTCGGTCTTTAGTTCTTCTACAGGATGCCAGCCCCGGTTTGAATGAGATCCCATCCAAATACATGTTCTGGCCTTCCACAAAATCCCATTTTTCCAAATATCTTCCCATTAGTTCTCTTGCTGATCAATGATGGTCTCTGAGTTAATCAGGCCATGCCGTAGAGGAAGCATGCTCACACGTTTGTGGTGGGGAAAATAAAGCAGGGTGCTGTAAATCTGGCTTGTCATCAAAAGACGAATAAATACAACATAGTGTTTGAATGTGCACCTTCTATAACAAACAGATTAGACCCTGTGTGTTCCTGGTCTTTTATTGAGACAGGCCAAGGCATCCAATTTTATCCATTAAAACCTGTCTCAAAGCCAGCTGGGCGGTGGGTGGAGAAGGGCTGACCCAGGAGGCCACTCCAGGTCACAGGAGCTGGCACGTGCCTTCTGGGAAAGCCAGTCTCTGCCCAGAGCTCACTCACTTTATTCAGAGGATCACTGACTGGCCTTTCCCTACAGACACCAGGGCCTCCAGGGTTGGAAAAGCAGTTGCACAGAGCAGTCAACCCCTATCTCGATCTGCTCACCACTGTCCCCAGAGGACATTACCAACAGCAAGTTAGGAAGGCATGGTCTCTACCCTAAATTGCATATGACAGAGAATGAAGACCCTAGATGTGGAAGAAATCATTTGTTCTCAGAGTATACTTCAGGACATGAGACACTAAATTTTTTTCTTTTTTTTACTTTTGATTGATTAATTGGTTGGTTGATTGATTTATATTTTTAACATTTATTCATTTTGAGAGAGAGAGAGAACAAGTGGGAGAGAGCAGAGAGAGGGAGACAGAGGATCCAAATCAGGCTCTGCACTGTGATCACAGAGCCCAGTGTGGGGCTTGAACCCATGAACCATGAGATCATGACCTGAGCTGAAATCAAGAGTTGGCTGCTTAACCTACTGAGCCACCTGGGCACCACTAAGTCTTTTTAGATAAAACGTTTGCCTCTGGGGACTCTGAGGAAAGTCATTCCATACCCTTCTTCTGTGAGCTGGGCCAGTGACTTCACAGATACGTGGAGAGGAAGATAGATTAGGGAAATGTGAAGGGTTTTGGGCACTGGTAATTACTTAGATTTCTTATGAGCAAGAGGTAGATATGCCAACAGCCCTTCTTGAATAAGCAAGGGAATAATGACATAGTCTGGTATTTTACAGATACATATCTGTTGTCAGCGTGAAGGATGGTTCTGAGACATTGGTAACACTTATACTCTGATGTGTTGAAGCTCAATCTCTTACAAAATGGACTTGAAGATTGTGCAGTATGTATATATGTGTGATCATCTTAGTACTTAGTATTAATATAATTATCAAAGACACACAGGTAAGAAGAGAAATATCCCAGAATTGTGACACACTGTTAAATTGAGTTATAAACTTCCCTGTAGCCCAGACAAAGAGAGAAAGGCTCTATGTTCTAAAAATTATTGAAAAGAGAAATCCTTTTCTTTTTCTCGGTACTAACTTCTAGTATTTTCTTGCAAGGAAAAACCGGCATTGACCAAACGAATAAAACATAACACATAAACGTACCTGTTCTTGATAATAACTATGCTATTAACATGGTCACAGTTTTGTGTCTGAGTCCCACAACATGCTTTAGGAGGACAGATGGAGTGAAAAGTCCCACAGGTGGACATTGTTGCTGATGAGATCCCTAGGGCATATGTCACCAGCGGGGGTCACAAACTCAGTGCCTCTCCTGAGCAGGTAGACACGAGAGTGAAGCAGGCTGCTAGAATCATGACACCATTAAGAGGCTAAATGTCCCCCAACTCAGGCTGGGTGTTGAAGAAGAGATAGAGTGGTAGAAAGAATGATAAAAAAAGAACAGCTGTTCCTCACATGGTTCTCATGTGAAAATAGAAGCCTTAGAGCTTTAGTAAGCTTGGTTTTCCAAAGGAAATAAGACATCGGGTATCTAGATAAAATTTCCTTTTAATAGCAGCAACTGCTTCTTCATTCTTGTTTCTGTTTTTCAATATCGTATAGACCCAGGGTCAGAGACGGGGGCCTGTGAGCCTGCCGTCTGAGACCTCCAACATAGAGGAGCAAAAATACTCACGAAAGAAGGAGCTCCAGGTGGCTTAGCAATGCAGTCCTAACCTACTGTATGGTTTTTGTACATTTGAGTGATACGATGATTGTGCCAGTGAAATGCTCTAAAACCGGCAGTGATAATATGAGAATGCTTATTTAAATGTAAGTTTAAATAGAAACTCTCCGAAACTGCCAAAATGAAATAGATAAGGAGTTTGATGTGTCTTTTTCTCATCTTGCCTGCCTATATTTAGAACCACCGATACCACAACATCAACAACAGTTGAGTTCCAGCAGAGACTTAAATATTAATTTGTATCCTTGCCAGACTACATCACCAACTCATAGAATAGAGAAACAGAACAATTAGACAAAAATTTCATATCTCCTTTTATGCTGTGGTTGTTCTGAATTGAAAGCACCATCTGTGGTGCACTTATTATCTTAGCAGTAGGGGCAGAATCCCTCTTCTCAGGGAAATGCCTTTGTTTAGGAAAATACCCTGATGGGCCATTTGCATGTACGAAATGAGGCTTCTAGGTTCCGGATGAAAGGAGAGGGTGGAGGGAAGCGAAGGCCCATGTATCTGTATTTCATAACTAGTGAAGAGCTATGCACGCAGATAATTCAGGAAAACCATAACTGAAGTACTAAAAGTGACTATGAAGCTCTAAGTCAGTGGGCCAGCAAGCTACAGCCAAGGGACAAAGGCAGCTATCATCTCTTCCCGTAGTCCATGTTCCGAAGTTCAGGAGTGAATTGTTGAAACAGAAATTGTATGGCCTACAAAGCCTACAATGTTTACTGTATGGTGCCATTGCCAACTCTCATCTAAGGACTTCTCAACCTAGATAAATGTGGAGGGGTTGTTCATTAAAATTCAAATTATTAAGGAGCGAAGTATTGCCAAATTGAATTTGCATTCCACCTATTTTCATATATACAAATGTAAACAATTTCAATCAGAATTTTCTTGAGTTTTGTCCCTGGACAAGCCCATAAGGTGTGTTATTAGCTTGGGTTTCTGGTTAAGATACACAAGTAGTCAGCTCACACATTCCTTTAATCACTGTATCAACTAGGAGAAATGCAAATTTGAGTTTGGTTAATGTCTACAAGTTTGCCTACCACCAGCACCACCATCATCTTCATTGTTTCAAAGGAAAATATATGAACAGGCATTCCAGATAAACGTACAGCATCTA